AGCGCACAAATCGTGCCTACCGTCCCTGTCCAATTGTTTCTTTTTATTTTTCTTACAAGTATCTATCTCATGTATTCAGGATTATATTTATTCTTATATCCGTATCTTGTAAGCGATTGACAAATCAAATAAATACTAAAAAAATATTATTTTTTCTCCCAGACTGGCTTATTACTCTATAGATTCAGTCTTGTCGGTGATCTCTCAGATTAACAACTGTTTTGCAGATAGATTTCCTTTCCACCTACAGGGAACTAGTAATTAGATTATTTCGTTAAAAAGAAAAGGCTTGTTTTTGATCCAAGATACTTTTAGCAGCTCTCAGCTGTTGCCCAATATTTTATATTTACCCAACCTGAAGAATAGAATGTTGCAGCTCCAGACATGGTCTGCCCTCAGCCTTATTAACAGCAATATTGTATTGCTAATCACCAAAAATACAGCTTTTCTCCCTTTATGGATTTGTTGGATATTACTGTACATTGTTCTGTTTGTTATGTGAGTACAGGTAGCCTTTAACTTACTGCATGGTGGTGCAGTGGTTAGAATGCAGTACTGCAGTACTGCTTACTTCAGGAGTTCGATCCTAACTGGCTCAGGGCTGACTCAGCCTTCCATCCTTCAGAGGTTGGTAAAATAAGGACCCAGATTGTTGGGCCCAATAGGCTGATTCTATGAAGTGGTATATAAACCTAACTGCTATTGCTAATCACAAATGGGACCAAATTTTCATTATTAAGCATGGCCATTGTTAAGTGAGCTATGTCTAATTTTATGGTCTTTCCCCCCCATACTTGTTAAATGAATCACTGCAGTTGTTAAGTGAATCAGACAGTCTTTAAGTGAACTCCATTGACTTTGCTTTTTGGAAGCCAGATGGGAAGGTCATAAATAGCAACCATATGACCCCGGGACCTGCAACCATCATAAATACATCATATGACTTTGGGGATTCTGCAAGAGTTGTAAGCACGACCAATTGTCAATTATTTTTTTCAAGGACTACCTACCTGTACTGAGCAGCAATTGCTCATGGAAAACTATCAGATGTGCTACCTCAGCACCAAGGAATTTCAACACCAAGATTTAGCTGTCGTGATTTCCCAGATGCAACCTTTTCTGCAATCACTTTCATGAATCATTTTGTCAGCCGGATCTCCAGCATGGGATTCTACTTTGATGCATGCTTGTTATTGGCTGCCATATTAATGGGGGGAGGGGGGGCATGGCATTTGGGTTGCGGAAGTGAGCTAGTGAGGTGAAGTCCCATGTGAACTGGAAGGGAGGTTTGCTCTCAAGAATTATTGTGCTGCTGAGTGGAGTTATTTACATCAGGTCAAGGCCAACTATCCTAGGAGTCCAGATGGGCAAAATTCCTGAAGGTGAGCTTCACACAACATCATACTGGACATTGATTGGACACTCAGCAAGTGACCCTGGGGAGAGGGGTTTGGGGAAATTTTCAATCTCTAACTTTCACACATTTTGAATCAGATCTTGTCTTGCTTTCGCTGCTATCATTTCAAACTCAGTAAAAGTACCCCTTCTCTATCTCACTGGAGTTGCGGGGGTTTTTTTCCTTGGGATTTGAACAGAGGCAGGCCTGACACATTTCTTTTTTGGCCAGTTGTTTTGCATGCTTGTTTCCTAATTGCTGCAAGGTCCTTTCAAGATGCAGGACACACTGACAGGTAAGTATCAAGTTAAAAATTCCTTTCTGTTGACACCCCCCCACACACAATGAGAACTCCCAAGCATTTAAAGATGAACTAAATTTCATAATGAAAATGCTTCCAGTTGCAGTTCATCACTGTTTTGGGTATTACGATTGGTGTATCATAATTTAATGAAACAATAACATCATAACAGAGCAAAAACTACAAGTATTGAATTCATCTTTCAGCAAATATAAATATGAGGAATTCCCCGCTCCCTTGCCACATTCCTTCCTACCTTTTATGCACCACAACTTCCTCATTCTCTGGACGATTAAGCAATGTTTTTATTCTTTGATGCTTGTCTAGCTTTATAGTGATGCACCACTGGACACACGTCAAAAACCTGTTCCATGGTTTTAAGTGTTGGCTTACAAAGAAAAATACAGCCTTAGTGAAGAAGCAAATGCCAAAGAGACAGAGGTTTTAGAAAGGGGAGATGAACAAAAAAACAAACATAAGAGATAACAGAGAGAAATATATTAAATACTATGTGGCTTTGGCTATATAGATTATTTCAAAATGAGGAATATATTACAGATGATGGATATGTGCAAAAGAGTACAGAACTAATCTTAAAGGAGGAATGCAAGAATATTAAGAAAAATTGGCACTGCTCTGGGAAGGAAGAGAAGGTTAGAAAGAAACTCAAGGTATCCCTCCTTAGACACAAGAACAGTTTTTTCCCAGAAAGCCATCACTCTGCTAAACAAATAATTCCCTCAACACTGTTCAACTATTTACAAAGTCTGCACTACTATTACTATTAATCTTCTCATCACTCCTTATCACCCATCCCCTCCCACTTGAGACTGTATGACTCTAACTTTGTTGCTTGTATCCTTATGATATATATTGATTGTTTCCTAATATGATTTGATTGTTGATTGTACCCTATGACTATCATTAAGTGTTGTACATTATGATTCTTGATTCTTAACGAATGTATCTATTCTTTATGTATACTGAAAGTATTTACACCAAGACAAATTCCTTGTGTGTCCAATCACACTTGGCCAATAAAGAATTTTCTCTATTGTATTTTCTCTATCTCTTTTCTCTATCTCTCTATTTTAAACAAATGGGAATCTATCCAGAAAGTGATAATGAACTGGGTAATATACTAATCCGCATTAATCTGCAAAAGAACAAAAAATATCACCCAGATAACAAATATTATTTCCTCTCAGTTTTAGTGAATTGTATGTAAATCACAATTGGGGGTGTGTGTGGATTTGATATAATACACTATTTCACTAAGCTTTGCTTAAGAAAATATGACTTGCACAAGATACAATTGCACTGATGGATTCGCACAAGAAAGAATTGCACTGATCTGATTTTTTGAACATACCACAATTATATGGGTTTACACTCATCATAGGTCAGAACAATTTGTGAATCCATGGAATTTGGTGGAGTACATGGAAACCTATCACGTCTTCTTTAATTAAGCTATAATTAATAAGTTGTGAAGAACTGAAAACATTTTTAAAAACATATTTCAGGATGAAAAGGATCGGTATCATCCACAAGCTGAATATTAGGCTATGAAAGCCAGGGATTGATTTTGGAAAATATAAAGTTTCAGAAGAATTTGTAATTGGCTGGGTCAACTTTGATGCTTGCCAATTCCCTGTTACTTATAAGCCTCGTAGCAGAGCAAATGCAGGACTGCCCTTGTAAGTTGTTTATATTTGCCATGTGTCAACATGTCTGAACATTTTAAAAATAACCCTAAAAACCTGCTAATGATACATTTGATATCTGACTCTCAGATTTCCAGAGTTCTAGTATTTGGAATATTTAAAATATGAGGTTTCTGATTCAGAAGCAGCACTATCCCTCATTCAGAAGCGCTTCTATCCTAAAGACATTTGCTTTTGATTTATGATGGTCCTTTCTGAAGAAACAGTTCCAAGAAGTGATGGTGGGAGAGATCTATTCAGAGACTTCTACTCAGTGGGTTGCTTCTCTCTCTACTTCTTTTTAACATCTACATGAAACCACTGGGGGAAATCACTTGTCAGCACAGGATTCAGGACCATCTGTATGCTGATGATCCCACTTCTGTATCTCATTCCCAGGCTGAACAGGTGATAAAGGTGGTGACCCAGTTCTTGGTATCAGAGTCTGGATGGGGGCGGGAAAGACTGTGACTGAATCACTCCCAGGCAAAATGGTGTTGGGTTTCTAGGCCTACCAGTTCCAGGGAAATTCCATCTCTGACTCTTGTGGCAGGTGGCCCAGTCTGGGACTTTTTCTAGACTTACAGCTCGCATTTGAACAGCAGGGGACAGCTGTGGCTAGGAGGGTACTGTTAAATCTTGTGTGCCAATTGTGACCATTTGTGGTCTGGGAAGCCGTGCTTATAGCCACTTATACCCACATTATTTCTCGTTTGGACCGTCTAAACATGCAATATGTGGAGCTGCCCTTGAATATTTGGAAGCTACAAGTAGTATAGAACATGGCAACCTGGACATTAATGGGTATGTCCTGATATACTTAGGTGACCCCCCCCCACTTCTTTGGGAGATCACAACAGAACCTTGCCCCTTTTGGACATATGTCACAACATCATACATATGTACAAAATAGTGGAACTATGCACCATGCCACTATTTTTGTCATTCTATTCATCTTACACCATGTTATTTGAGGATATTTTTATTATTTATTTATACAACTTATAGGACACCCATTTTACTTCAAGGTAACCATGGGTGGCTTATTATTACATTTATATCCCATTATTCTAAATGCTCAAGACTCAAAGGAGAATTTAGAGGTCATTGTTAGAAGCAATCATGCAAACATTCATTGTATATAGTATCTTCTTAGTAATTTACAAAAGATCACTACGTTCAGAACACTTCAAATAGTGTGTCACACTGAATTTTAGTGTCATTCTTTAAATAAATATGAAAAATGGAGAGAACACATGGTATATTAAAGAAAATTACATTTATTGTAAACAAGTAAAAGTACATAAGAAATCTTGTGCAAAATCTTAGTCACAAAATAGATATTACAATATTCTATAATTTTATATTTATTCAGTATAGTAAGATAATTGAAAAAATGATGGAAAAATCACTGTATACACATCTAGGACTGATGACTTGACTTTCTTTGCTTCATAAGCAATCCATCATTTTCCAAATTTTATATCATTTTAAATTATATCTATAACATATAAAGGTCAATCATATTTCTATTGTAATCTATTTTAGAGAAATTTCAGGAAGTAACATAAGCACACTGCTTTTGTTCTTCCTGGAGAATAAAGCTTTTGTAACTCTTAAATTATCCTTTAAACAAACAAAGTGCACTGTATCAAAGTTTCAATGATATAGAAATTTAAATGTATAAAAGAAACACAATTTAAACACACGCAACAAAAGATTCTGAAGTACAGCTAATAGTATGAACTGTGATGCTTTCAAAGTTGTACAAATTTGTCTTTAGAATAATCCAGCCATATGATACCACTTTCTCAATGATATACTTAAGTTATACAGAATTGCTAAATTAGTTATATTTTTATATACCAGAAAAGATACACACATTTAATCTCAGGATGTTGATAACCACATTCCCCTCATTATTCACAACTGAGAAAACAGCAAGTATCTCTGCTTAAAATTTTCAGCATTTTCGTATTACTGGAATTCCTGATTCTGTACCATAAACTGAGATTCTGCATTTTGCTTGCAACAGCGTTGAAAACATTCCCACATCCTAATGTCTGCATCTCTCTCTAGTTTATACTCAGCCACAGAGGACACAGGAACAGCTCTTTCCAGAACTGGCATTGATGTTTCCATGTCTCCTTACTCCAAGCACAAAAATGCCTGCTACCCTATATATCACAGCAAAGGTATACAGGTAGCCATTGCCTCTGTTTCAGTCTGATAGTGTAGAACCACAGACTTATTCTGCAATGCTTTTTCACATTACCATTGGTACCAGTCATACACTGGGAGGAAAAAAGCTAAACAGCCTCTTTAGACAAAGTTATTTCATTGATCAGCCACTGAAGTATGCGGAGTAACAATATCATTTAGCTTGCTCACTTCCATCTGCCAGTTTGGTAATTTTTTGGCTGACAAATGGCGACGTGCATGTTTTGTTAAATGGTCACTCCTCATGAATCGTCGACTGCACATTGGGCAGGCAAATTTTTTCTCTCCCGTATGTGTTCTGCGATGGCGAGATAGTTCGTCAGAACGGGCAAATCTCCTCTCGCAGCCTTTCCAACTGCAGCTGAATGGCTTTTCTCCTAAAATACAAAATGAAGAATTAATGGCACAAGTGTTTTTTTTAATTAATAGGGGACAAACCTTTATTAATACCAGAAAATAAATTATTTCTATATCCATTTATAAACAAATCCTACCTACAAATTCAGATGAGATACACACAGGATAGGAAAATATGGGGCAACAGTACAGAACCAACAATTCTAGATAAATTGCTGATAGGGACAGATGAAAAACTGATTAAGGTGTTGTACAGATACTTATTATAATATAAATTAGAAGACGAGCATGTCAAGGAGACAATGGTGGCCTGGGCAAAAACTGGCAAAATGGCAGAAACTCTGGACTAACAATAGGAAATTAACTATGGCGATGGCCTATAAGGAAAATTTATATAAGATGTTCTACAGGTGGCATCTTCTGCCAGCAAGGCTCACTAAAATGTACAACAACTTATCACCAAAATGCTGGAAGTGCAAGGATTTACCACCACATGTGGTGGACATGCAACCACACAAGACAATATTGGAGATTGATAAGGCATGGATAGAGCGGGAGAACACATTCAATTTAGGCCAGAATTATTCCTGTTGGGAATAATGACAGAAGGCCACAGTAAAGGTACAACATATTTAATAATACACGTATTGACCACGGCAAGAATGGTTTGCACAGAGTATTGGAAAAAATCAAAATATACCACCGAAAGGAGAAATAATAAGGAAAATAATGGCATGTGCAGAATCTGATAGACTAAATTTAGAAATGAAAAATAAGGGGGATTCAGAATATTACGATACTTGGAACAAGTTTTATATGTGGCTGCAAAAAAGAAGGGAAGGTTGGAACAAAAACAATTGGATTGGAAGCAAAATGTAAATATTGTACCAATAATAGAAAAAAAAACATTTGAAAAGTAATAAGTAATCATATCATAACGTAGGCAAAACCTTATATAGTATCTACTATATTCTTATAGTTCCATATAATCAGAATATAAATTATAATTAATGCCTGCAAGTTACACCTTGCAGATCTTCTTTGTTAAATGATACTTTAGTAACAATCTGCGAAGATTGACATTAGTTGTTTTATTCTGAGCAGAAAGAATCTAACTTTCAAATTATAAATCTGACACGCTCCTTATCTTCAAGTGATATTTTCCTTCCTTATTTGATACCATGGTTTTTCACAAAAACATATAGACTAAAACATTTGGAAAGAGTTGCATAGGTGAATAACAGCAATTCTCATCATCATATTAATGTCACCGAGAAGTTCATTTAGAATTTTTCACACTAGACAATTCCACAACTCACCTGTATGTGTTCTAACATGTGCCTTTAAATGGGAGCTTTTGAAATACGTTTTTCCACAACCCAGGTAGTTACAAACATGGCTTCTTGTTCTGAGAGAGTCAACAGATGGAGTGATCTTTGTGGCAGGAGGGGCCATACCTGGAGCAGGAGCAATAGGGGACAGTCTGGTGCTGTGAGGACTAGTCACCGGAGCCTTGGCATTCTGCACAACAGTCTGTGGCACTACAAACATAACTGCTGCTTTGGGAACTTGAGTTCCCATGAGGACCATTGGATGACAAAGGTTTGATGGCAATTGACCACAAGGAGTGTTAGATACTATGGCTGTCACAACAGAGTTGTTAGCAGACAATGGAACCATCTGGCAAACCAATGGCATAGAAGAGACTCCTCCTACTTGCACAGGAGTTGGAGAGGCTACCTGTGAAGGGTACAGGGGAACAGATGGAGAAGTATCAAGTACAGTCTGTGGGAAAGGCACTGGGCTGATGGCCTGTAATGGACTTGTGGATTCTTTTATGGCTGACAGCTTATCTTCGGGAAATGCAGTATTCAGCAATATACTTTTACAAGATAAATCTTGTTTTTTTCCTGTATTGTCTTCTGAATGTGACTTTGTACTGCCATTCTGGTTTGCTTCCATGTTATCATTATACTTCCTAACCTGGTCTGTTCTTGCTGGACAGGTTATGCTACTGCAAAGCTGAGCATCTGCTGTATGGCGAATGACGCTGGTTGCCTGAGCTCTCAATATTCTTGGCACTGGAACATTTGGGGTCTCTTTAGGAGATGCTGCAAGGCCTTGATCAGAAAGGTCTGGATATGGCTTGTTCTGTACACAAGGTGGCGCTGATGTTGCTGGATGGACTGCCTGAGCCATTTCAAGGTCAGCAGAAGGGCTGTAGGGTGGAGTTAAACACTGAACAAAACAAAGCAAAGAGAAGAGAAGTGAGCTATTTATGAGGACTTGAATTTCTGCAGATTTTAGCTTTTATCTTAGAATAAGTGTTAATAAACTAAGCAGAGCACAGCACTAAGCTATCAGTTAGTAATTTATAACAGAATAAAACTTACAAAAGCTGGTATTGTACGAAAATCAGCAGGAGGTAGCAAGTTGTCTTCAAACTCCTCAGATGTATCTGAAGCTGGTGTCATTGGCCTCCGCTCGGCATACTTTTTGAAGTCTGATTTCCAACTGCAGCTCATGGACATAAGAGCTTCCACTGCTTCAAAAGCACTCTTTTCATTGGTGTAGTTCCAGGAACACTTCCTGAGGCATTGCCTTTTAGCAATCATCTCCATTCCTTCTTCCTAAAAAAAAAAAGGGGGGGGGGGAAATGGAAAAATGAATTATATAAAGACCAACAGTAAGTTCCAATACAAATTTATTTTTTTCTATCCTTCAGATAAGATTTTAGAATGTATAAACGTAGTAATGATAACAATCATCAACCTACTTTCTTTAAAATGAACACTATTAGGAAGTCAAATAATTCCCTTTGTTTGCAGAATATTTAGAAGCTCAGTTAGCAAGGCTGTTAAAGTAGGCCACTAGATCAAAACTCCTATCTTTAAGCCTTTCACAAGGGATTGAAGACTTGGTTGTACCCTTGGGCCCAGAATGGCTGACTTGTTTCACCATGGGTTATAGTTTTGTTACTGAGTGTGAATATGAATATTTTTGAATCTTGGGTATTCGTGACATTTTCAACTACTCTAATAAATTGTATTCTGTTGTGATTTGGTCTTATTTTTCATATGCTACCTAGAGGCAGTACTGTCAGATAAGCAGCCACAGCAATTGCTTAAATAAAGGCAACATCATCATAACGTTCACTTTTTTTTGCTACCCTCAAGCAGTAGTCTAAATGTTTGCAGTCCCACACTATAATTCTACCACTGCTTATGCTGTAGGTTATCTTTGGATTATTGGCTTATTCAATTCCGTTTTACTACGTGCAAAAAGTAACCACCTTTTGCGTGTGGTTCGTCTCGAAAGCGATGCATCTCAACAATTGGCAATTCTAAGAATTGAAGTCCACACAGCTTTAAGTTGCTGCAGTTGAGAAACATCGTCTTAATCGCAACTATTATTCCATTTGTAAGACTAAACCCGCTAAACCCCCCTAAACAGGATTATTCCGAAAGTGATTTTGTTTCCTCGAGACTGAGCGGCTCTGACGCCCGGCTTCTGCAGTCACAGCGTCTATGCAGGCGGAAAGACTATTTTCAAATGGGAAACTCCGGAGGGAACCAGGTTGCCAGCAGAAGGCCGCTGAGCAAGTCAGGCTCCGGGGGGTGGAGGGGGAAATCGAGGCCAGGGAGTTCCTCGCTCCGGCAGCCGGATCTTGAAAGCGAGCCACGTTCACCTCAGAGAGCCTCCGACATGACTCACCCGGCCCTTCGAACAGCTCCCCACCCCCTCCTTCCAGGATGGTCCCCCTCCTCCTCCCATTGGCTCCTCGGGGCAGGCAGCACGGGCTGCGATTGGTTATCCCCGGCCGAAAAAAAAAAATGGGCGGAGACATGTGAACAAAGCGTGATCGGGGGCCGCTCCTCAGCGTCGGGGAACGTGAAACTGGGCTTTGCCGCGCGACGACCTTTCACCCACTTTCTCTTGAGGCCTCCTCCCTCCTCCCCCTCCCCGGCCTCACTCGCCATCCGCGAGTCGCTCCCACGCCTGGAGGCAAAGCCGGATGGGCGGGTTGGCAGGCTCGTCGGAGCAGGGCAGCATCCCGCCTTCCCAGAAAGCCTCCAATACCAGGGCGCGGCGCGACGGGCCAGACCTTGGCTTCAGCGGCTCCGCCGCCCATCTTCTTCCCGCGCCAGCCCGATTGGCTCCACAGCTGCGGGGTCGCCTCATGAAGGGCGCGAAAGGCGCTGGACGGTTGAAGCCGCACGAGCGGCGGACTCCAGCGGGGTGGGGGGGCGCTCTGGGGGCGAACATTCCCGCCAAGGCCGGTCACAAGAAGAAGAGGCGGAAATGCGAAGGAGGGGAAGCTCCCGGCCTTCTCCGCCTCGGCGACCCCCACCCTCCCGGAGCCGTCTCTCGGCCAATCCAGGAAGGCCGCTTCCTGACCCGTTTCGACCTCTCCCTCTAAAGCCAGAGCCGCCCCCGGCTTCCCCTCTCGCTTTCCGGTTTCTCGCTTGCATTTCACGGCCCTTCGCTCCCTTTTGCCGAGGCTATTTTCAGCGACTTGCCAATGCCTCGA